GAGGGTTCTCGACCCCGCACAACATGATCTACTCGACCACCATTATGGGTACCGCCAATAAAACACAGAGGTACAAAAACCCCCCGGTAAACCTGGTTGCCGAGTTTACGAAGTGCATTGACTTGTATTACAACGTCGTTGCCAAGCGACGAAAACCCAACCCCGATGGCAAAACCGAGGGGGGGGCTTGTTTTTCAACGTCGTTGCTAAGCGACGAAAACCCACCCCGATGGCAAACACCGTTACCATTTACATAGAAATTAGAATGGTCATAAGGAGTTGCGGAGCGCGAAGCGCGACGTTTTTTCCCTTCATCCCCAGGAGGGAAAATAATGTCGAAATCATGGAACCGCGAAGGGGTTCCGCAGATGAGAACATATTGCCTGCAGCAAGGCTTGGAGAGAGCACCCACTGGGGACAAGCCTTTCCAACCCTAACGGAGGGGAAAGTACGGTAGGAATGACAGCCGTCCCCCCCGCCCAACGGTACCTATTTGTTTGTTTTGTTTTGTTTCCGGTGTTATTACTTTCTGCGCAATTGCCGCGTTGACGACATGGAGGACGTCAACGCGGGGAAAGTAACCCTGGGTGGAGTCTCCAGGCTTTTCGTAGCCGGAGGACTCATTTCATCTCAAACTCCACATCGTGGACAACTATACTCTCCCCGGCCTGCCCCCCCCTTCCCTGGGGTAAGCTGAGGTTCCGCACGTGGATCTAGACCTCGAAAGACCACCCAGCAAAGACGGATAGACGGTCCCTAGTACTGTTGAGGGGAGGATCCTGAGTTTGGCGGTTGGGAGTTGCTGCTGTCGTGAGATCGGGGTAGCTCGTGAGCCGCCAGCTTTGGTAGCTGCAAAATGAGACTGGATCCTGACGCCCTGGCTTGGACACCGGGGCTATGCAGCAGCAGAGAGCACGGTGAGGGTGGCGGAGTGACCGCACGCCGTGGGGGTATGCCCCAGAGAGAGGAAAGGAGAGAGTCCAGAGATGGAGGGCCACACCGCTCCGGGACAAGAAAACTCGGGAAAAGGAGGGGTCGGGCGGCGCGTAGGCTAGCTAAGAGAGCACCGCACGCCGCGCGAAAGAGACAGCAGGGTCAACTTCTTAGGGTAGCAACCTGGAATGTGCGGACTTCGGCTGTAAACGGGGCCAATGGATACGGGCGAGCCTACAGCGTTCTACACGAGGCAGCGAGACAAGACGTATCGGTGGCAGGAATGCNAACGGAATTTGCAGCAGCGGGTTTCCGGGTGTTGTGCTGTGACACGGAGACTGGTGGTGTTCATGGTGTGGGGATGGCCGTCAAAGAGTCACTGTGCAAGACATCCACGTTCACTCCGGAGTTCATCAACGAACGCCTTATGGCCATGAGGGTTCTGTTGGCAGGCCACCGTGGAGCGGTCAACTTCGTAGCCGCGTATGCTNACACGGAGACTGGTGGTGTTCATGGTGTGGGGATGGCCGTCAAAGAGTCACTGTGCAAGACATCCACGTTCACTCCGGAGTTCATCAACGAACGCCTTATGGCCATGAGGGTTCTGTTGGCAGGCCACCGTGGAGCGGTCAACTTCGTAGCCGCGTATGCTCCAACCGAAGCTTCAACCGCCGACAGCAAGCGCGTGTTCTGGGGAAAACCTGACCGTCTCGTGCGGAGGATCCCTTCCAAAGAATGTGTGTATGTCCTACTGGACGCCAACGCGCGGACGGGAGATAGGTTGGACG